AGCATTCAAACATTCTGTCACGTCAAAACATGGCGTTTCCATTCTTGGCGACGTCACACTGGTTGGTGATGTAACGCTGGTTTGCGGCGTAGAAGCACTATAAGTTTAATAGACAGAAACAAAGTTAAAAAGAGCAATCTCATATTCTACAAGATGTCCATCAAAATATTGAGGGTTTGTTGGGGGGTTTTCGGAAACGTTCGCTAAAATAAAGAGCCGGACACAATTAGGTTATTTTGCATAAAATCGTAAGAAAAAAATAAATCGGCAAATTTCACAGTTCCAATTGGAATTACTCAATAAACATAGCAGAAACGAGATCATTATCAAACCTTCCTGAAAATCCGCCATCCCTCAGCACTCCACCACCGAAAAAAAAGAAATTGGAATTCAAAGTTAACATCTGCGTCGTTTATAATTTACTATACAGTCATTTTCCCGAAGGTGCCATAGATCCAGTTCCTATAACGACACCCACTAATTTTCGGGAAGGTGCAAATACTAATCTCATTACCGCTATTTTTATTGTGTAATTCATATTGGAACATTTAGACACGAAAATAAATAGGCTACGCTATTGCCGACTAGGTTCCCGTGCGATCAGATATCGGTACTGTATTTATTTACATTTTAAATCCCTTTTAGATTACGCCTATTTCTGGACATTTTTATTTGTTTAAATGTGTTAGAAAAAAATACTGATGCATTAAAATAGGCAATTTACCTACGAACAACCTAATGGTGCCGTTGTATCAAAAGGTCATTGTTGTTTTACCAAGAGCTTACATGGTTCAACATTAGAGACTTTTAGCAAGCGGAATTTTTCCCATCTGTATCACGAATCTGTATCGTGACGATACGGATACGTGATACGTTGCGTCAATAGGGACTTTTGGCAAGCGTAAATTCCTGGTCCGTATCACGTATCCGTATGGATTTTGCGTACGTCATCATAGTGTGTGTATTTCTTATGCGTGATTTCTCATACAGAAAAGGTCCGTATAACATTAAAGACTTTTGGCAAGCGGAATTTTTCCATGGGGTTTCACGTCCACTCGATACAAACATTTCGGGACTAACATATGGTTTAATTTTTATTTCAATAATTCGCTTGCGCGTAGGGGTCCTTAGCAGTGGGAGGACCCGGAGAAAACCCACGAGGTTGGACAAGCGACCCAACTCCTTGTCACGTACAACCGGGGATCCGAAACCACGCCAGTTGACTCAATGACAGGTCTTATGATACAGCGCGTACGTGCTAACCATTCAGCCATCCAACCCCCCGCGTACGTATGAGTAGCTGAACTGAGCTGAGCTGAGCTGAGCTTGGTTTAGTTATATTACGGCATTATGGTAATTATCTACCAAGATCACTATCAGTACTAGTCAAGTGCCTAGCCTACAAATTCCCTGAGCTATTTAAAAAAAATCAATATCAAATGTTATTAAAAATCTTCGTCTTCGACTCGACAGCAATTTTTATTTTCACTAATGTATCATTTCAGTAAGTTTATACTCCTTTACCATAGAATCACATCATCTACATAAAATTCCGCTAAAAACTCATCAAAAATAATGATTAAATTCCAGTCTTTATCATGTTTAAAATCAAATCAAATATACACCTTCGTGTTCTAGGATAAACATAGATTCAATAAAAGGCTATGGCACAACATTTCAGCGTCTAAAAGTAGCAAAAAAGACGGTAAAAGACGACAATGTTATATGGACCTTTTCCGTATCAAAGCTGTTCGATACGTACTGCCGTATCCGTGTGCCGTATCACGAATGAGAAATACACACACATTGATGACGTCACACGCATAATCGATACGGATGCGCGATACGGACCAGAAATTTATGCTTGCCAAAAGTCTCTATTAATTGACGGCTTCGGAAACGTGTTGAAAGTAACTTAGTAACATCTATATAATCTTGATATTCACATCTGCTAGCACTGTTTGCCAAGTTCAACACGAACATCGTTTAGTCGACATAGTTAATAACTTACGTTAGTCGTTTGGCTTGATTGTGGCTGTAGTATACTCTATAAAAAAGTAGGGGATATTCAGAAACAATACAAAGCTGCCAAAATCCACTGCTGTTTTTATTAGAGGTAACCAGTGTATGTTAATAACAGGCCAATTGCCTACACATGAACATAAACAGTTCATATGGGCGGCTTATCTGACGGCCCCATTTCACTCGCAAAGAGATACACTGTCAAAAGTGAAAATGGACGTTTTTGATTTTTGTCTTAATAATGAGTAATTGCTCCACCAATCCTCAGAAATTCAGCAATTCGTCGTGGCATGCTTCTAATCAACCGTCCAATCACGATTTGGGGCAATCTGACCCACTCCTCTTGCAGTGCCACGGCCAATTCTTGCAGTGTTGTCGGTTGACGTTGACGTCGACGAACATGTCTCCCGATCATGTCCCAGACAGGACTCATGGCTGGCCAAGGCATATGAACAATATGGTGACACTGGAGGTAGTCAGTCATTCACGACACGAACGCGGTGGGCACGGGCATTATCATCTTGAAAGATGAAACGTCGACCTGCACGCTGAGCAAAGGGCAGAACTATCGGTGCCAGAATGTGGTCACGGTAGTACACACCAGTGACCCTTCCTTGAACAATATACAAGTCCGTTCTGCCAGTCATGGTGATTCCTCCCCACACCATAACAGACCGACGCCCGAATCTGTCATCCTGTCTGACGTTAACTTTAACGTTAGCATGATGCTCATTTACACGCGAGCACGCCTATCGGTGTAATCCAGAGTACATCTGAGAAAATTACACGTGCCCATCGACGATTACTCCAATTTCTACGCTGCCTACACCATTGACGCCTGTTTGCCATGTGCTGTCGAGTTAATGGAGGCACAACACGCGGTCTTCGCGCATGCAAATGGGCTGCATGTAGCCGATTTCTAATCGTTTGGGGTGTAACTCGAATTCCTGTAACTTGGTACAAGTTTACAGAAAGCTGATTGGCCGTTTGTCCTCGATTTCGCAGGACCTGTGTACGAATATATCGATCCTGGGCTTGTGTAGTGGCTCTAGGACGACCTGAACGAGGTCTATCATTAACATTGTGTGTTTCTTGGTACCGGTTCCATAGATCACAGACTGTGACACATTAAGCATGTTGGCTACTGCTCGCTGTGTAGAGCCCATTTGAAGCATGCCGATAGCACGTAGAGGTTCATCATTTTGAAGACGTCTCATTGCAAATTTTAATTTTAAACGTAACACACTAAATCAAAGATACGCTAAATAGTAAATCGTTTGCAAGAACCGATATGAAAGCAAACATGGATAGGATAAACCAGCACGCGGCAGTTTTCATCAACCCTTCCTTGAAGTGTCAAATTTGACAATGAACGCCTCCCACGTCTATGGCGCTATTGCGTGTGGTGTTCAGGTCAGTGGTTCTGTTGGGGCGACAAGTTCTTCATCTGTGAACATACTCTCAAAGCATGTCAAATGTCCATGACTATTTATCATATCACAATCTGCATAGGTATTTGCATTTCAATATCCCCTACTTTTTTTTTAACAGTATATAATAATAATGGCGAACGGCGGTGTTTGTGACCCGTGACGTGTATTTCGTCAGTACGAAGTAGGTCTGTTAAAACAAAGTACCTACCTGCATCTAGTTTGAGACGACAGGGTACATGTTAATGTAACAGTATCAAAATATAAAAGAACTGGACAAATAAAACCCGCTTCCTAATATCACACAAACTGAATATTTGCAATGATATTAGTATAACATCAGAATACTGCCAGAAATTAAAACAAAGTACTTACCTACATCTGGCTTGAAATGACTGGGTGCATGTTAATGTAACACTATCAAAATATAAGAGATCATTACAAATTCTCTCGTCTCCCAACTCAGCATTTAAACAACGGATATATCTTTGACAATCAGTACAGTGTGGAAAATCGCCTAATTTATTCGAACATTCTGTCACGTCAATACATGGCGTTTCCATTCTTGGCGACGTTACACTTGTCGGTGACGTAATACTTGTCATACTGGTAGGTGATGTGACACTGGTAGGTGATGTGACACTATTAGGGGATGTTACACTGGTAGGTGATGTGACACTGGTAGGTGATGTGACACTAGTAGGTGATGTTGCACTGGTCGGTGATGTTACACTGGTAGGTGATGTGACACTGGTAGGTGATGTGACACTAGTAGGTGATGTTGCACTGGTCGGTGATGTGACACTGGTAGGTGATGTAACACTGGTAGGTGATGTTACACTGGTAGGTGATGTGACACTGGTAGGTGCTGCAACACTGGTAGAAGCACTACACGTTTAATCAAAAGATACAAAGTTAGAGGAGCAACCTAAGATTATGTAGGGTATCCACGAAAATTTCTACTTAATAAAATTGAGTCTTTCAGAAATAATCGCCAAGGCTAAATAAATTAGGTATTTCGGAAATGATTGATTAGCAGGGTCAAATTATTTTGCATAAAACCGAAGGAGTATAAAGTATAAATAATATCAAGTAATTTCAAATAAAATGGATACTCATAAAACCCCAGATAACTCCTTATAAGTAATACCGCTTTCTAAAATCAGAGAAGACTTACTAAATATTTGCAATGATATTATTATAACATCAGAATACTGCCAGCAATTAAAACAAAGAATCTACCTGCATCTAGCTTGAGACGACAGGGTACATGTTAATGTAACAGTATCAAAATATAAAAGACGTTGGCAAATAAAACCCGCTTCCTAATATCACACAAACTGAATATTTGCAATGATATTAGTATAACATCAGAATACTGCCAGAAATTAAAACAAAGTACCTACCTACATCTGGCTTGAAATGACTGGGTGCATGTTAATGTAACACTATCAAAATATAAGAGATTTTCACAAATTCTCTCGTCTCCCAACTCAGCATTTAAACAACGGATATATCTTTGACAATCAGTACAGTGTGGAAAATCGCCTAATTTATTCGAACATTCTGTCACGTCAATACATGGCGTTTCCATTCTTGGCGACGTTACACTTGTCGGTGACGTAATACTTGTCATACTGGTAGGTGATGTGACACTGGAAGGTGATGTGACACTAGTAGGGGATGTTACACTGGTAGGTGATGTGACACTTGTAGGTGTCGTCACACTAGTAGGCGACGTCATACTGGTAGGTGATGTGACACTGGTAGGTGAAGTCACACTGGTTTGTGACGCAACACTTGTTACACTGGTAGGCGATGTGACACTGGTAGGTGATGTCACACTAGTAGGGGAGGTTACACTGGTGGGTGATGTCACACTTGTTTGTGACGTAACACTGGTCTGTGACGTAACACTGGTAGGAGATGTTAAACTTGTTGGCGACGTAATGCTTGTAGGCGATGTCATACTGGTTGCTGAAGTGACACTTGTAGGTGATGTGACACTTGTAGGTGATGTTACACTGGTTGGTGATGTGACACTGGTAGGTGATGTAACACTAGTAGAAGATGCAACACTGGTAGAAGCACTACAAGTTTAATCAAAAGATATAAAGTTAGAGGAGCAACCTAAGATTATGTAGGGTATCCACGAAAATTTCTACTTATTAAAATTGAGTCTTTCAGAAATGATCTCCTAGGCTAAATAAATTAGGTATTTCGGAAATGATTGATTAGCAGGGTCAAATTTTTTTGCATAAAACCAAAGGAGTATAAAGTATAAAATAATATCAAGTAATTTCAAATAAAATGGATACTTATAAAACCCCAGATAACTCCTTATAAGTAATACCGCTTTCTAATATCAGAGAAGAATTACTAAATATTTGCAATGATATTATTATAACATCAGAATACTGCCAGCAATTAAAACAAAGAACCTACCTGCATCTAGCTTGAGACGACAGGGTACATGTTAATGTAACAGTATCAAAATATAAAAGAACTGGACAAATCCTGTCTTCTCCCAACCCAGCATTTAAACAACGAATATATCTTCGACATTCAGTACAGTGTGGAAAATCGCCTACAGCATTCAAACATTCTGTCACGTCAATACATGGCGTTTCCGTTCTTGGTGACGTCACACTTGTTCGTGATGTCACACTAGTAGGTGATGTTACACTAGTCTGTGATGTGACACTGGTAGGTGATGTTAAACTTGTTGCCGACGTAATGCTAGTAGGCGATGTTACACTAGTTGGTGATGTGACACTTGTAGGTGATGTAACACTAGTAGGGGATGTTACACTGGTAGGCGATGTCACACTTGTGGGTGAAGTCACACTGGTTTGTGACGTAACACTGGTAGGTGATGTTAAACTTGTTGGCGACGTAATGCTTGTGGGCGACGTCATACTGGTAGGTGATGTGACACTGGTAGGTGATGTTACACTGGAAGGTGATGTGACACTGGTAGGCGATGTGGCACTGGTAGGTGATGTGACGCTGGTTGGTGACGTCACACTAGTAGGGGATGTTACACTGGTTGGCGATGTTACACTGGTTGCTGAAGTGACACTTGTAGGTGATGTGACACTTGTAGGTGATGTTGCACTACTAGGTGATGTTACACTGGTTGGTGATGTTAGGCTTGTTGGTGAAATGGCACTGGTAGGTGATGTGACACTGGTAGGTGATGTTAAACTTGTTGGCGACGTAATGCTTGTAGGCGACGTCATACTGGTAGGTGATGTGACACTGGTAGGTGATGTGACACTTGTAGGTGACGTCACACTAGTAGGCGACGTCATACTGGTAGGTGATGTGACACTGGTAGGTGAAGTCACACTGGTTTGTGACGTGACACTTGTTACACTGGTAGGCGATGTGACACTGGTAGGTGATGTCACACTAGTAGGTGATGTCACACTTGTTTGTGGCGTAACACTACAAGTTTAATCAAAAGATACAAAGTTAGAGGAGCAACCTAAGATTATGTAGGGTATCCACGAAAATTTCTACTTATTAAAATTGAGTCTTTCAGAAATTATCGCCTAGGCTAAATAAATTAGGTATTTCGGAAATGATTGATTAGCAGGGTCAAATTATTTTGCATAAAACCAAAGGAGTATAAAGTATAAAATAATATCAAGTAATTTCAAATAAAATGGATACTTATAAAACCCCAGATAACTCCTTATAAGTAATACCGCTTTCTAATATCAGAGAAGAATTACTAAATATTTGCAATGATATTATTATAACATCAGAATACTGCCAGCAATTAAAACAAAGAACCTACCTGCATCTAGCTTGAGACGACAGGGTACATGTTAATGTAACAGTATCAAAATATAAAAGAACTGGACAAATCCTGTCTTCTCCCAACCCAGCATTTAAACAACGAATATATCTTCGACAATCAGTACAGTGTGGAAAATCGCCTACAGCATTCAAACATTCTGTCACGTCAATACATGGCGTTTCCGTTCTTGGTGACGTCACACTTGTTCGTGATGTCACACTAGTAGGTGATGTTACACTAGTCTGTGATGTGACACTGGTAGGTGATGTTAAACTTGTTGCCGACGTAATGCTAGTAGGTGATGTTACACTAGTTGGTGATGTGACACTTGTAGGTGATGTAACACTAGTAGGGGATGTTACACTGGTAGGCGATGTCACACTTGTGGGTGAAGTCACACTGGTTTGTGACGTAACACTGGTAGGTGATGTTAAACTTGTTGGCGACGTAATGCTTGTGGGCGACGTCATACTGGTAGGTGATGTGACACTGGTAGGTGATGTTACACTGGAAGGTGATGTGACACTGGTAGGCGATGTGGCACTGGTAGGTGATGTGACGCTGGTTGGTGACGTCACACTAGTAGGGGATGTTACACTGGTTGGCGATGTTACACTGGTTGCTGAAGTGACACTTGTAGGTGATGTGACACTTGTAGGTGATGTTGCACTACTAGGTGATGTTACACTGGTTGGTGATGTTAGGCTTGTTGGTGAAATGGCACTGGTAGGTGATGTGACACTGGTAGGTGATGTTAAACTTGTTGGCGACGTAATGCTTGTAGGCGACGTCATACTGGTAGGTGATGTGACACTGGTAGGTGATGTGACACTTGTAGGTGACGTCACACTAGTAGGCGACGTCATACTGGTAGGTGATGTGACACTGGTAGGTGAAGTCACACTGGTTTGTGACGTGACACTTGTTACACTGGTAGGCGATGTGACACTGGTAGGTGATGTCACACTAGTAGGTGATGTCACACTTGTTTGTGGCGTAACACTACAAGTTTAATCAAAAGATACAAAGTTAGAGGAGCAACCTAAGATTATGTAGGGTATCCACGAAAATTTCTACTTATTAAAATTGAGTCTTTCAGAAATTATCGCCTAGGCTAAATAAATTAGGTATTTCGGAAATGATTGATTAGCAGGGTCAAATTATTTTGCATAAAACCAAAGGAGTATAAAGTATAAAATAATATCAAGTAATTTCAAATAAAATGGATACTTATAAAACCCCAGATAACTCCTTATAAGTAATACCGCTTTCTAATATCAGAGAAGAATTACTAAATATTTGCAATGATATTATTATAACATCAGAATACTGCCAGCAATTAAAACAAAGAACCTACCTGCATCTAGCTTGAGACGACAGGGTACATGTTAATGTAACAGTATCAAAATATAAAAGAACTGGACAAATCCTGTCTTCTCCCAACCCAGCATTTAAACAACGAATATATCTTCGACAATCAGTACAGTGTGGAAAATCGCCTACAGCATTCAAACATTCTGTCACGTCAATACATGGCGTTTCCGTTCTTGGTGACGTCACACTTGTTCGTGATGTCACACTAGTAGGTGATGTTACACTAGTCTGTGATGTGACACTGGTAGGTGATGTTAAACTTGTTGCCGACGTAATGCTAGTAGGTGATGTTACACTAGTTGGTGATGTGACACTTGTAGGTGATGTAACACTAGTAGGGGATGTTACACTGGTAGGCGATGTCACACTTGTGGGTGAAGTCACACTGGTTTGTGACGTAACACTGGTAGGTGATGTTAAACTTGTTGGCGACGTAATGCTTGTGGGCGACGTCATACTGGTAGGTGATGTGACACTGGTAGGTGATGTTACACTGGAAGGTGATGTGACACTGGTAGGCGATGTGGCACTGGTAGGTGATGTGACGCTGGTTGGTGACGTCACACTAGTAGGGGATGTTACACTGGTTGGCGATGTTACACTGGTTGCTGAAGTGACACTTGTAGGTGATGTGACACTTGTAGGTGATGTTGCACTACTAGGTGATGTTACACTGGTTGGTGATGTTAGGCTTGTTGGTGAAATGGCACTGGTAGGTGATGTGACACTGGTAGGTGATGTTAAACTTGTTGGCGACGTAATGCTTGTAGGCGACGTCATACTGGTAGGTGATGTGACACTGGTAGGTGATGTGACACTTGTAGGTGACGTCACACTAGTAGGCGACGTCATACTGGTAGGTGATGTGACACTGGTAGGTGAAGTCACACTGGTTTGTGACGTGACACTTGTTACACTGGTAGGCGATGTGACACTTGTAGGTGATGTCACACTAGTAGGTGATGTCACACTAGTAGGTGATGTCACACTTGTTTGTGGCGTAACACTACAAGTTTAATCAAAAGATACAAAGTTAGAGGAGCAACCTAAGATTATGTAGGGTATCCACGAAAATTTCTACTTATTAAAATTGAGTCTTTCAGAAATTATCGCCTAGGCTAAATAAATTAGGTATTTCGGAAATGATTGATTAGCAGGGTCAAATTATTTTGCATAAAACCAAAGGAGTATAAAGTATAAAATAATATCAAGTAATTTCAAATAAAATGGATACTTATAAAACCCCAGATAACTCCTTATAAGTAATACCGCTTTCTAATATCAGAGAAGAATTACTAAATATTTGCAATGATATTATTATAACATCAGAATACTGCCAGCAATTAAAACAAAGAACCTACCTGCATCTAGCTTGAGACGACAGGGTACATGTTAATGTAACAGTATCAAAATATAAAAGAACTGGACAAATCCTGTCTTCTCCCAACCCAGCATTTAAACAACGAATATATCTTCGACAATCAGTACAGTGTGGAAAATCGCCTACAGCATTCAAACATTCTGTCACGTCAATACATGGCGTTTCAGTTCTTGGTGACGTCACACTTGTTCGTGATGTCACACTGGTAGGTGATGTTACACTAGTCTGTGATGTGACACTGGTAGGAGATGTAACACTTGTTAGCGACGTAATGCTTGTAGGCGACGTCATACTGGTAGGTGATGTGACACTGGTAGGTGAAGTAACACTTGTAGGTGAATTCACACTAGTAGGTGATGTGACACTGGTAGGTGACATCACACTAGTAGCTGATGTGACACTTGTAGGTGATGTCACACTTGTAGGTGAAGTGACACTGGTAGGTGATGTACCACTAGTAGGTGATGTACCACTAGTAGGTGATGTTACACTAGTTGGTGATGTGACACTAGTTGGTGATGTAAAACTAGTAGGCGATGTAAAACTAGTAGGCGATGTTGCACTAGTAGGTGATGTAACACTAGTAGGTGATGTTCCGCTGGTAGGTGAAGTCACACTAGTAGGTGATGTTACACTAGTAGGTGAAGTCACACTAGTAGGTGATGTTACACTAGTAGGTGATATGATACTAGTAGGTGATGTGATACTGGTAGGTGATGTTAAACTTGTTGGCGACGTAATGCTTGTACGCGACGTCATACTGGTAGGTGATGTGACACTTGTAGGTGACGTTACACTTGTTACACTGGTAGTTGACGTGCCACTAGTTGGTGATGTGACACTTGTAGGTGATGTCACACTTGTAGGTGATGTTACACTAGTAGGTGATGTGACACTTGTAGGTGATGTAACACTAGTAGGTGATGTTACACTTGTTGGTGATGTTACACTGGTCGGGGATGTGACACTGGTAGGTGATGTGACACTCGTAGGTGATGTGACACTAGTAGGTGATGTTGCACTGGTTGGTGATGTGACACTGGTAGGTGATGTTGCACTTGTAGGCGATGTGAAACTTGTAGGTGAAGTCATACTGGTTGGTGACGTTACACTAGTTGGTGATGTGACACTGGTTGGTGATGTGACACTGGTAGGTGATGTTGCACTTGTAGGCGATGTGACACTAGTAGGTGATGTCACACTGGTAGGGGATGTGGCACTGGTTCGCGATGTAACACTGGTAGGTGACGTAACACTGGTCTGTGACGTAATACTGGTAGGTGATGTTAAACTTGTTGGCGACGTAATGCTTGTAAGCGATGTCATACTGGTTGCTGAAGTGACACTTGTAGGTGATGTGACACTTGTAGGTGATGTGAAACTTGTAGGTGAAGTCATACTGGTTGGTGACGTTACACTAGTAGGTGATGTGACACTAGTAGGTGATGTTACACTGGTAGGTGATGTTACACTGGTTGGTGATGTTACACTTGTTGGTGATGTTACACTGGTTCGTGATGTTACACTTGTTGGTGATGTTACACTGGTAGGGGATGTGACACTGGTTGGCGATGTTACACTGGTAGGCGATGTGACACTAGTAGGAGATGTTACACTGGTAGGTGATGTCACACTAGTAGGTGATGTGACACTGGTAGGTGATGTGGCACTGGTAGGTGATGTGACACTAGTAGGTGATGTTGCACTGGTTGGTGATGTGACACTGATTGGTGATGTTACACTTGTTGGTAAGGTTACACTGGTTGGTGATGTTACACTTGTTGGTGATGTTACACTGGTTGGTGATGTTACACTTGTTGGTGATGTTACACTGGTTGGTGATGTTACACTGGTTACTGAAGTGACACTTGTAGGTGATGTTACACTGGTAGGGGATGTTGCACTAGTAGGTGATGTGACACTGGTAGGTGATGTTGCACTGGTTGGTGATGTGACACTGGTAGGTGATGTCACACTTGTTTGTGACGTGACACTGGTTTGTGACGTAACACTGGTAGGTGATGTTAAACTTGTTGGCGACGTAATGCTTGTAGGCGACGCCATACTAGTAGGTGATGTGACACTCGTAGGCGATGTGACACTAGTAGGTGATGTAACACTGGAAGGCGATTCTGCGCTGGTAGCTGAGGTCACACTAGTAGGTGATGTTGCACTAGTAGGTGATGTTACGCTGGTAGCTGAGGTCACACTAGTAGGTGATGTGACACTTGTAGGTGATGTAATACTAGTAGGTGATGTTGCACTAGTAGGTGATGTTACACTGGTTGGTGAAGTGACACTTGTTGGTGATGTTACACTTGTTGGGGATGTGACACTAGTAGGTGATGTTGCACTGGTTGGTGATGTGACACTGGTTGGTGACGTTACACTCGTAGGTGATGTGACACTCGTAGGTGATGTGACACTAGTAGGTGATGTTGCACTGGTTGGTGATGTGACACTAGTAGGTGATGTTGCACTGGTTGGTGATGTTGCACTGGTTGGTGATGTGACACTGGTAGCTGATGTTGCACTTGTAGGCGATGTGAAACTTGTAGGTGAAGTCATACTGGTTGGTGACGTTGCACTTGTAGGCGATGTGACACTAGTAGGTGATGTCACCCTGGTAGGGGATGTGGCACTGGTTCGCGATGTAACACTGGTAGGTGACGTAACACTGGTCTGTGACGTAATACTGGTAGGTGATGTTAAACTTGTTGGCGACGTAATGCTTGTAAGCGATGTCATACTGGTTGCTGAAGTGACACTTGTAGGTGATGTGACACTTGTAGGTGATGTGAAACTTGTAGGTGAAGTCATACTGGTTGGTGACGTTACACTAGTAGGTGATGTGACACTAGTAGGTGATGTTACACTGGTAGGTGATGTTACACTGGTTGGTGATGTTACACTTGTTGGTGATGTTACACTGGTTCGTGATGTTACACTTGTTGGTGATGTTACACTGGTAGGGGATGTGACACTGGTTGGCGATGTTACACTGGTAGGCGATGTGACACTAGTAGGAGATGTTACACTGGTAGGTGATGTCACACTAGTAGGTGATGTGACACTGGTAGGTGATGTGGCACTGGTAGGTGATGTGACACTAGTAGGTGATGTTGCACTGGTTGATGATGTGACACTGATTGGTGATGTTACACTTGTTGGTGAGGTTACACTGGTTGGTGATGTTACACTTGTTGGTGATGTTACACTGGTTGGTGATGTTACACTTGTTGGTGATGTTACACTGGTTGGTGATGTTACACTGGTTACTGAAGTGACACTTGTAGGTGATGTTACACTGGTAGGGGATGTTGCACTAGTAGGTGATGTGACACTGGTAGGTGATGTTGCACTGGTTGGTGATGTGACACTGGTAGGTGATGTCACACTTGTTTGTGACGTGACACTGGTTTGTGACGTAACACTGGTAGGTGATGTTAAACTTGTTGGCGACGTAATGCTTGTAGGCGACGCCATACTAGTAGGTGATGTGACACTCGTAGGCGATGTGACACTAGTAGGTGATGTAACACTGGAAGGCGATTCTGCGCTGGTAGCTGAGGTCACACTAGTAGGTGATGTTGCACTAGTAGGTGATGTTACGCTGGTAGCTGAGGTCACACTAGTAGGTGATGTGACACTTGTAGGTGATGTAATACTAGTAGGTGATGTTGCACTAGTAGGTGATGTTACACTGATTGGTGAAGTGACACTTGTTGGTGATGTTACACTTGTTGGGGATGTGACACTAGTAGGTGATGTTGCACTGGTTGGTGATGTGACACTGGTTGGTGACGTTACACTCGTAGGTGATGTGACACTCGTAGGTGATGTGACACTAGTAGGTGATGTTGCACTGGTTGGTGATGTTGCACTGGTTGGTGATGTGACACTGGTAGCTGATGTTGCACTTGTAGGCGATGTGAAACTTGTAGGTGAAGTCATACTGGTTGGTGACGTTACACTAGTAGGTGATGTGACACTGGTGGGTGATGTGACACTAGTAGGTGATGTTACACTGGTTGGTGATGTTACACTGGTAGGTGATGTTACACTTGTTGGTGATGTTACACTGGTTCGTGATGTTACACTTGTTGGTGATGTTACACTGGTAGGGGATGTGACACTGGATGGAGATGTGACACTGGTAGGTGATGTCACACTTGTTTGTGACGTGACACTTGTTACACTGGTAGGCGATGTTACACTGGTAGGGGATGTGACACTAGTAGGTGATGTTGCACTGGTTTGTGACGTGATACTGGTAGGTGATGTTGCACTTGTAGGCGATGTGAAACTTGTAGGTGAAGTCATACTGGTTGGTGACGTTACACTGGTAGGTGATGTTGCACTTGTAGGCGATGTGGCACTAGTAGGTGATGTAACACTGGTAGGCGATGTCATACTGGTTGCTGAAGTGACACTTGTAGGTGATGTGACACTGGTAGGTGATGTTGCACTGGTTGGTGATGTGACACTGGTAGGAGATGTAACACTGGTAGGCGATGTGACACTAGTAGGGGATGTTACACTGGTAGGTGATGTCACACTTGTTTGTGACGTAACACTGGTAGGTGATGTTAAACTTGTTGGCGATGTAATGCTTGTAGGCGACGTCATACTAGTAGGTGATGTGACACTTGTAGGCGATGTGACACTGGTAGGTGAAGTCACACTGGTAGGTGATGTCACACTAGTAGGTGATGTTGCACTAGTAGGTGATGTTACGCTGGTAGCTGAGGTCACACTAGTAGGTGATGTGACACTTGTAGGTGATGTAATACTAGTAGGTGATGTTACACTGGTTGGTGATGTTACACTTGTTGGTGATGTTACACTGGTTCGTGATGTTACACTTGTTGGTGATGTTACACTGGTAGGGGATGTTATACTGGTAGGGGATGTGGCACTGGGTGGCGATGTTACACTGGTTACTGAAGTGACACTTGTAGGTGACGTTACACTTGTAGGTGATGTCACACTGGTAGGCGACGTCACACTAGTAGGTGACGTCATACTGGTAGGTGATGTGACACTGGTAGGTGAAGTCACACTGGTTTGTGACGTGACACTTGTTACACTAGTAGGGGATGTGACACTAGTAGGTGATGTTGCACTGGTTTGTGACGTGATACTGGTAGGCGATGTTACACTTGTTGGTGATGTTACACTGGTTGGTGATGTTACACTTGTTGGTGATGTTACACTTGTAGGTGAAGTGACACTTGTAGGTGATGTTACACTGGTTCGTGATGTTACACTTGTTGGTGATGTTACACTGGTTCGTGATGTTACACTGGTTGGCGATGTTACACTGGTTACTGAAGTGACACTTGTAGGTGACGTGACACTTGTAGGTGATGTCACACTGGTAGGCGACGTCACACTAGTAGGTGACGTCATACTGGTAGGTGATGTGACACTGGTAGGTGAAGTCACACTGGTTTGTGACGTGACACTTGTTTGACTTGTAGGGGATGTGACACTAGTAGGTGATGTTGCACTGGTTTGTGACGTGATACTGGTAGGCGATGTTTCACTTGTTGGTGATGTTACACTGGTTGGTGATGTTACACTTGTTGGTGATGTTACACTTGTAGGTGAAGTGACACTTGTAGGTGATGTTACACTGGTTCGTGATGTTACACTTGTTGGTGATGTTAGACTGGTAGGGGATGTGACACTGGTTGGCGATGTTACACTGGTTACTGAAGTGACACTTGTAGGTGACGTGACACTTGTAGGCGATGTTACACTAGTAGGCGACGTCACACTGGTAGGTGATGTGACACTGGTAGGTGAAGTCACACTGGTTTGTGACGTGACACTTGTTACACTGGTAGGGGATGTGACACTAGTAGGTGATGTTGCACTGGTTTGTGACGTGATACTGGTAGGCGATGTTACACTTGTTTGTGATGTTACACTGGTTGGTGATGTTACACTTGTTGGTGATGTTACACTTGTAGGTGAAGTGACACTTGTAGGTGATGTGACACTTGTAGGTGATGTTGCACTAGTAGGTGATGTTGCACTAGTAGGTGATGTGACACTGGTAGGTGATGTTGCACTGGTTGGTGATGTGACACTGGTAGGTGATGTGACACTTGTTTGTGACGTAACACTGGTTTGTGACGTAACACTGGTAGGTGATGTTAAACTTGTTGGCGAGGTAATGCTTGTAGGCGACGTCATACTAGTAGGTGATGTGACACTTGTAGGCGATGTGACACTGGTAGGTGAAGTCACACTGGTAGGTGATGTCACACTAGTAGGTGATGTTGCACTAGAAGGTGAAGTTACGCTGGTAGCTGATGTCACACTAGTAGGTGATGTGTCACTTGTAGGTGATGTAATACTAGTAGGTGATATTTCACTAGTAGGTGATGTTACACTGGTTGGTGATGTTACACTGGTTGGTGATGTTACGCTTGTTGGTGAAGTGGCACTGGTAGGTGATGTGACACTTGTAGGTGACGTCAAACTAGTACGCGACGTCATACTGGTAGGTGATGTGACACTGGTAGGTGAAGTCACACTGGTTTGTGACGTGACACTTGTTACACTGGTAGGCGATGTTACACTGGTAGGTGATGTTACACTGGTTCGTGATGTTACACTGGTTCGTGATGTTACACTTGTTGGTGATGTTACACTGGTAGGGGATGTGACACTGGTTGGCGATGTTACACTGGTTACTGAAGTGACACTTGTAGGTGACGTGACACTTGTAGGTGACGTCTCACTAGTAGGCGACGTCATACTGGTAGGTGATGTGACACTGGTAGGTGAAGTCACACTGGTTTGTGACGTGACACTTGTTACACTGGTAGGCGATGTTACACTGGTAGGTGATGTTACACTGGTTGGTGATGTTACACTTGTTGGTGATGTTACACTTGTTGGTGATGTTACACTGGTAGGGGATGTGACACTGGTCGGCGATGTTACACTGGTTACTGAAGTGACACTTGTAGGTGACGTGACACTTGTAGGTGACGTCACACTAGTAGGCGACGTCATACTGGTAGGTGATGTGACACTGGTAGGTGAAGTCACACTGGTTTGTGACGTGACACTTGTTACACTGGTAGGCGATGTGACACTGGTAGGTGATGTTGCACTGGTTGGTGATGTGACACTGGTAGGTGATGTCACACTTGTTTGTGACGTAACACTGGTTTGTGACGTAACACTGGTAGGTGATGTTAAACTTGTTGGCGAGGTAATGCTTGTAGGCGACGTCATACTAGTAGGTGATGTGACACTTGTAGGAAATGTGACACTGGTAGGTGAAGTCACACTGGTAGGTGATGTCACACTAGTAGGTGATGTTGCACTAGTAGGTGAAGTTATGCTGGTAGCTGAGGTCACACTAGTAGGTGATGTGTCACTTGTAGGTGATGTAATACTAGTAGGTGATGTTGCACTAGTAGGTGATGTTACACTGGTTGGTGATGTTACGCTTGTTGGTGAAGTGGCACTGGTAGGTGATGTGACACTTGTAGGTGACGTCACACTAGTAGGCGACGTCATACTGGTAGGTGATGTGACACTGGTAGGTGAAGTCACACTGGTTTGTGACGTGACACTTGTTACACTGGTAGGCGATGTTACACTGGTAGGTGATGTTACACTGGTTGGTGATGTTACACTGGTTCGTGATGTTACACTTGTTGGTGATGTTACACTGGTAGGTGATGTGACACTGGTTGGCGATGTTACACTGGTTACTGAAGTGACACTTGTAGGTGACGTGACACTTGTAGGTGACGTCACACTAGTAGGCGACGTCATACTGGTAGGTGACGTGACACTTGTTACACTGGTAGGCGATGTTACACTGGTAGGTGATGTTACACTTGTTGGTGATGTTACACTGGTTCGTGATGTTACACTTGTTGGTGATGTTACACTGGTAGGGGATGTGACACTGGTTGGCGATGTTACACTGGTTACTAAAGTGACACTTGTAGGTGACGTGACACTTGTAGGCGATGTGACACTTGTAGGCGATGTGACACTGGTAAGTGATGTCACACTAGTAGGGGATGTTAAACTGGTAGGTGATGTTAAACTTGTTGGCGACGTAATGCTTGTAGGCGATGTCATACTGGTATGTGATGTGACACTGGTAGGTGATGTGACACTGGTTGGTGATGTAACACTGGTTGCTGAAGTGACACTTGTAGGTGATGTGACACTTGTAGGTGATGTTACACTGGTAGGGGAAGTTTCACTAGTAGGTGATGTGACACTGGTAGGTGACCATGAAAGAAAATCGTCATGTAAAACCTTCTGTATCAAAGGAAGAACGGTACGACGGAATGAGCATTAATAAAAACAACTAACCCGAGGACACTCTGCTCCTTGTATTTTTTTAAGAACGCAAAGTGTTCACAGCCAAACACAACCAAATATCGGACCATAGTGAATTAACTCTTACATCCAATTTAATATTCCAGCTACACATTTATTCTGGGACGGAGAGAGAGAGGGGGGGGGGGTGATAAATGGGTTTTAACGTCCACTCAACACAAACTAGGTCATTTCAAGACTAACATATGGTTCAATTTACATGTATTCCAATAATTAGCTTGCTCGTAGCAGTCTTTAACAGTGGGAAGAAACCGGAGGACCCGCAGAAACTCATGAGGTTGGATAGGCGATCCTACTCCTTGTCACACTACCGGGAAATCGAAACCATGCCAGTTCACTCAATGACAGAATTTATAATACAATGCGCATGTGCTAACCATTCGGCCATTTACCCCCACCCATCCCACCCTTCAGGGCGGATGCTGTTTCTGGGTTCTTTGGTTGCTCTCAAAAAGCTATACAAGACTCAAGTCAAACCGTATGATAAGCACCATTTGACGACGAACATGTGAATAAAATGATGCAATATACAGCGAGTTGTGTGTACAGTGACCAGGAGATTGATACATTAGTACATGTAGTTCCCGATCTTCTAAATGGACTAATATTTGAAATGTAAGAGGTTTCAAAGTTTACTTTAAGATACAGGATCATACGATTAGAAGCTATGGAGAGCGATTTATCAAGCATACATTATGACCCACTACGAAACTCGCCCGCGTCACCTTCTTCACTAGAAAACGGAGGGGAATTAAGAAAGAGACAGTGAGAAATGGGTCTTTAGCAGTGGGAGGAAACCAGAAGACCCGGAGAAAACACACGAGGTTGGACAGTCGACCCTACTCCTTTTCACGTGCAAGCGGGGGATATAAACCACCCCATTTGACTCAATGACACCTTGCGATCTAACGCGCACGCGTTTACCATTCGGCCACCCGAATTTATGATTTTCTCGCCAAAATGAGTCCCCATTTGGAATTTGGCCCCCTAGCGGTATTGGCCGTCACGTTTGGAAGGGATACCCAAGCTCATTAGATTCAGCGGGTCGAATTCTTATTGATACCACCTTCAAATTGAAGTCCGAGACAATTTGTCCGGCATCATCCGGATTCTGAATCTATATCTGATATATAATCCATCAAAATACATTAGATGGACTATATTTCCAGATTTGTCGACCTGTTGACGGACTAATACAAAGTTAAAGGAGCAACCCTAAATAATACCCCACAATCGTGGTGGAAACGCCAGATATCGTGTTGTGGTCTCCATGGTCGCCAATGATCGACGAGTCAAGGCGTTTGTTTTGAGCATGTTCAAAACAAACACCAAAGTTCTGTGATCTGACCTGGAAAGCTGTGAGAACGCGGTGGGGTCGCGAAGGTCGCGAGACAAGCGTGATAACATCTCCATGAACGTAGTACCGGCGCAATACACTAGTGGCAAAGACGCTGCGAAAATTGTAACATTTGCAAGGTCGACTTCATGACGTCTTTACCACGACCCTCGCGTGTCTGCCACGACCACACGCACTTATGGCGTTGTCATGGCGATGTTACGATGATTTCATCACTGTTGCTGGATTGCCCTACATCCTTATGGGGTTCCCAGTCTGCCTATGGCGATCTTATGGGGTTCAAACTGCGTTTATGCAATTTATAATGCGACCATGGAGTGGTTACCAGGCTTGCATTACGCTCCTGTGGCGATCAGGCTTTTCATGGGCGACTTGCTATTAAAACAGGCGATTCAAAGTTCATACATCAGTGTGTATGTCGTCATCTTGAAATGTCCAAAAATCTGACCAGCTTATAAAGTCGCCGTGATCATGTGGTAGAAGCGCACGTGTAGTCGCGATACACGTTGAAGACACGTAAGAACGCCATGGGCGTGAAGGGGGTTGGATGGCTGAATGGCTAGCGTGCGCGAGCTGTATCATAAAGTCTGTCATTGAGTCGACTGGCGTGGTTTCGAATCCCCGGTTGCACGTGACAAGGAGTAGGGTCGCCCGCCTGTCCAACCTCGTGGGTTTTCTACGGGTCCTCCGGTTTCCTCCCACTGCTAAAGACCCCTATGCGCAAGCGAATTGTTGAAATAAAATTAAACCATATGTTAGTCCCGAAATGACCTAGTTTGTGTCGAGTGGACGTTAAACCCCATTTCTCTCTCTCGCGCCATGGGCGTGTTTAGAGTGGTATCCAAACAACTCGAACCAAAAACCACTCGGACCCCAAAAAAGACCAATTGTACCAAAACAGAGACCACTCGGACCAAATCAAAAGACTACTTGGACCAACCCAAAAGACCACGCGGACCAATTAATATATATTGTAAGACCACTCGGACAAATTAATTTATATTGCAAGACCACTCGGACCAACCCAAAGGGCCACAGTAATAGTCACATATGGATCATATCATGGACCTATATATATAATGAGCGGGGTGGTTTTATTGACTCCCCGGGATTTGCCCGTCAGGCATCTCATCATATTCAAAACTTTCTGTCCCCTTTAACAACATTTTCAATATGTGGTATGAAAGTCATTTTGCGACCAAATGTCACCCCTAGAAGCTATGTCGGATATTTGAATTAATTCGGATATTGTTTAATTCAGGTTTCATAGACGACACTTCCCTATGATCCCTACAGAAGATCATACCTACTGTTTTACTTTCAGATATTCGAAATCTTCTGTCATTAGACCATTTCGACAATTTGTCTAAAGCTTCTTGCATTCTCGTTCTAATGGTACCGTAGTTATTCGCTGCATGCCAGACTGAACTGTCGTCTGTATAAACCGCTAGGTCAATATGTTTCTTAATGTAGTTATTAGACTGTAGGCCATTAATCATGATATTGAAAAGTGTCGGACTTATAACAGAACCCTGGGGTGTGCCAAGCCAATAGATCTCAATAGAAACGCCATAAGCGCGGAGGGGTCGTGACTGGCGCACCATATGAACGCGGTAATAACGCGACTTTTTTCAAGTTTGTAATTTTTTGCACATTGTTTGCCGGCGACCATGTGCATTTTCTGGTCGCCGTACGGTCGCAGCAGCCCAGTAAGGACGCACCCCGGTATGACGGGGGCATAATACATGGTGTCATGAAAATTTTTACTTAATAAAATTGAGTCTTCCAGAAATGATTGCCTAAATAAAATTGAGTCTTTCGGAAATGATCGATTAGCAGGATCAGATTATTTTGCATAAAATCGTATTAGTATAAAGTGTAAATAATATCAAGTAATTTCAAACAAAATGGATACTCGTAGAAAAAACCCAATATAACTCCTTAAATAATATCGTTTCCTAATATCAGAGAAGACTTACTAAATATTTGCAATGATATTAGTATAACATCAGAATACTGCCAGAAATTAAAACAAAGTACCTACCTACATGTGGCTTGAAATGACTGGGTGCATGTTAATGTAACACTATCAAAATATAAGAGATCATTACAAATTAACTCGTTTCCCAACTCAGCATTTAAACAACGGATATATCTTTGACAATCAGTACAGTGTGGAAAATCGCCTAATTTATTCGAACATTCTGTCACGTCAATACATGGCGTTTCCATTCTTGGTGACGTCACACTTGTCGGTGACGTAATGCTTGTCATACTGGTAGGTGAAGTTACACTAGTAGGAGATGTCATGCTTGTTAGCGATGTCATTTGAGTTGAAATTACCAGACTGCGAATAGAAAGGAGATATTTTACCATTAATTAACGATCTAAACACGTCTAATTGTTTGCATACTAATGAGATCAGAAATATACATCATTTATCCTTTTTGTTTCTTTAAAAAAAAAGACAGTAAAAGTTTACGTACCTACAGACTGCAACTTCTGGTTGGCTGCATGTAGATGTTTCCGAGTTAAACCGAAGAAATCCTGAACATGTTAATTTTTTATTCTTCACACACATTACATATTGTTTGCAGTCATCACAGTCAGCAATATTACCAGATTTGATCCCACCACAATCTGTTGAGCCACTTAAGCAGTTCGATGTGTTCTGTGATCTTTTAAAATAAAAGTGTGTAAACTAAATAATTTATTTTATTTATTTTTTTAAAAATGATAGCTTAAACCTGTTATTTGCCATATTGGAGTGGGGTGGCAGTTGTGTAGTAAACTTATTTTTCGTCAATGGTGAACTGACCAGTCGGTCGTGAGATATAATATCTGTAACAAATACTATCGAGACCCCCTTGTTGTTGAGCCAGCGCCTTACTCTCCAAGTCACCGATCTGTAACAAGGTAGTCATTCATGTACGGAGAAACCAGGCTTCGCGTACTAAGTAAGACCGGGATATGTGCAATGTGTGTCTAATGCGCACGCGTAGATCATAAAACATGACACCATTATATGGAATACAAGTTACTTAAAAGTTTATTTCTGGCGACGTTTGGATCGAGGCTTTTCGATCATGTCTGTCTGTCATTGAGACGGGTGGCGTGGTTTCAAACTCAAACATGTACCTTGGGGGTTTCCGTATGGTCTACGGTGGTTTTTGAAATAATATGCCATATTTTGGTCCCGAAATGACATCGTTTGTGTTAAATGGACATTAAAACCCGATATCTCTCACTCCCAGAAACAACGACCACATATCTTCCTGATACGGTAGCCGATGCAATCACAGATAAAGCTGTAACTCGGTATACGTGTTGTTTGACCCAATTTCAATACGTAAAAAAAAATGTCTTACCCACAAATGACTCGGGATGAATCACAGTTATAAGTAGAAATACTAAAAAGTGTTTCAGTGGGACAAGTCACCTGTTGTTCTATTGAATTACTGCAGCTGATATATTTACTACAGTCACTACAGTCCGGATATCTACCGTCTCCCATACCAACACAGCTACTTATACACGTCTGTTGGGCTTAAAAAAATGAACTAAAATTAAATGGGTTTAAAGTCTTATAAATACGTTAATTCTCATTTGAACCGTAAAGAAAATATTTCATTTTCCTAACTTGTCTTAATCGGATAAAATTCAGCTTTGGGGTTGCTTAATTTTAACAAAAGATCTTTTCTTTTGTGTATATAGGTGCCCATGCTGTCAGAACGAAAAAGATCGATTTAGTTTCCTGCACGCCAATAGCGATTTTTTTAAATACGTGTACCACGTGTAGACAAAACAAAGGATGCAAGCATAAAAAGATAAATATTCCAAGAAAAGATATATAATTTTTAGTAAAAAATCGAATAATATTTTACAATAATACTACTCACCAGGTAAAAATGTTTGACTTGAAACACTGTAAAAAATAAAAGTTATCAGTGATTGTTTTGATAAAAGAGCTATGTTTTAGTGAAGTGTATAAAATGCCAGACGCTATTACACTCAGAGTATTTCTTCAAAGATGCGCATCTTTGCACCTTCGTCTGTTTTCAAGAAAGAGAGAGCTCTAAGTTGGGTAAATAGCTTTCATTTTCATCATTTCTCGAATTAATTGTTCATTTATCAGAATATATAAATAGTTTGGGGTTCTCGTGATTTATTTTGTTTCCATGTCAATAGAAAAGTTTAATTATAGGATGTATGCTCATATTATTTACAGTTCTCCTTATAGAGAAAAGAAAACCTTCTTAATATGACATACCTTGATATTGCAATATTTATTATTAAAGACAAGAAACCTCTTTGATTTAGATTTTTAAAAAGTATAGAATTAGGATGACCTGGTATGTTTAATTTCTGTTAGTGACGGGTCAAGCTCAACACAGTCATATTTTGCGAAGTGCTCCTGTTCACAAATTTTTTTAAGTTTCCTTTTTTTTTGGTTTACTGTATTATATTTTGTGAAGTATCCTTGTTTACAAATTTTAGTTTCATTTTTTTTTTTTTTTTTTTTGGAGGGGGGGGGGAGGCGAAAGGGGGGATGGGGGGTACTGTGTCGACTTGTTATCAACCCACAAAAACAATGAATGAAATAAAGTGTATAACGTCTTACTTTTTTTGTACTTACCAACGGGATATGAGGGGAATTTTGCCATCCATACAATGTGCTATGAATTAAATTTTTAAATTTTACCCACCATACAATGTGCTATGATGAAAGATTTTGCCCACTATACACTGTGCTATGGGGGAAATTTTGTCCGGACAGCAATTGATGTGCACGTTCATGTGTACATTGGGCCTCAATTTTTTTGATCCATCCGAACAACTAACGCCACAAAACAAACCATCATATCAAATCCAATGGAATCGTAACTTTGACCGAAATCAAAGAGATAGTCTTTTGATAAAAAAATACTTCTTAAAGGTATTTTTTTTTTATTATACAATAAAATTATAAGGAGCGATCTGTGTGAAAATATGATGTTCGTGATTGTTATCTTATGAGTATATAGAAATAATAAAAATATTGCCTGAAGTTATCAATATCTATTTAAATCACGCCTATATCTTATTCCACAGCATTTTTCACAATCAAGAGAATCTAATTGATATTTTATTATTTTTAGTGCAAAATGGACATTCAAAACATACCCTGAAAGGCTTTGTAAAAGTGGTGCCTTGAGGATAGGGTGGCTGAATGGTTAAAGCGTGCGACTTGCATCATAAGGTCTGTCATTGAGTCAAGTGACGTGGTTTCGATTTCCCGCTGGTACGTGACAAGGAGTGAGATCGCCTATCCAACCAACCGGTTTCCTCTCACTGCTAAAGACCCCTCCGCGCGGGCAATAATATTATTGACATAAAACTGAACCATGTGTTTGTCTCGAAATGATCTAGTTTGTGTCGAGAGGAC